ATAAAATCTTTAAAAAAAAAAGATAAAAGAAAAACGTAATTACGGGCCTATTGTATAACCCTGATGTTCTCCTTCAAATCTAACATGGTATGAATACCAGAAAAAACTTATGTAAAAATTTAATCAACTGAAAACCTTACGTTTAATAATGACAACATGAACTTCACATTCACATTCACATACAAAGATCCTATAGACTGACTTCCCATTTCACACCAATTTCCTTCCAGTTACAATAAACAGTAAATGGACATAAACTATGAAGTTACAAAAGTAAAGTTTTCCAAATGATAGTGATTTTTATCAAAAATTTATCAAATATATGGGGCGCCTGGCTGGCTCAGTTGGTACAGCATGTGGCTCTTGATCTCAGGGTTGTGAGTTTGAGCCCCATGGTTGGTACAGAGATTACTTTTAAAAAATATAATCTTTAGGGGCACCTGGGGGAATCATTCGGTTCAGCATCTGACTTGATTTCGGCTCAGGTCATGAACTCAGGGTCCTGGGATCCAGCCCCACAAACAGCTCCACATTCAGTGGGAAGTCTGCTTGAGACTCCTTCCCTCTGCCCCTCCTCCTGCTCATGTGCACATTCTCTCTCTCTCTTTTAAAATAAATTTTAAAAAATTTATCAAATGTAATTTTCTCCTCTAAACAAATTTCTGAAATTACAGATGAAATAGAACTACTTTTACATGAAATCTTTTAAAAGTCTGCCTAAACTAATATATACCTACTCAAATGTAAAACAAACTAAAATATTAATGATCATACTATAGCAAAAGTAATATTTACAAAAAAAATCTCTATCAAGGGATGCCTGGGTGGTTCAATCATTATGCATCTGCACTGGGCTCAGGTCATGATCCCAGGGTCCTGGGATGGAGTCCCCACATCAGGCTCCTTGCTCAGTGAGGAGCCTACTTCTCCCTCTGCTGGTCCCCCTGATTTTGTGTGCAAGTGCGCTCTCTCTAATAAATAAACAAAATCTTTAAAAAAAATCTACATCAAAGATTTGGATATAGAGCTTAAGAGCTAATGATTAATATCTTTTAAAGTAGATTATAAATATATTTGCCCTATCTATAGGTACATTGATAAAATTAGATTATATAAGGAACAAAATCAATATTAAATGATAGTATCATATCTATAATAGGTAAAAGTGTATTCAGTGTTATTTAAAATGTTTTGTAGCATTTTCCCATAGAATTCAAAATGGAATAGCAGCAAATAATAATAGCAATAACTGAGACTGTTTTGGGCGCCTGGGTGGCTCAGTTTGTTAAGCGACTGCCTTCGGCTCAGGTCATGATCCTGGAGTCCCGGGAT